CATGCAGACTTGTTCACACGTACATAGTCCCCTGTTTCGACTCTCAGAGAAATATCGCAAGCTCTCTTTTGAGAGCTCACAATGTTCCTTCGATTAATCCCCACATCAGAATGAAGTTGATCACCGATCCTCATGCTAGGACCAGAAAATCTTGGGGGGGGCATGGCTCCCATGGCCCCCCCCTCGGTACGCTACTGGCTGTGGTGGGAATCGGCTGAACAGTACTCGGAAACGGAGAAATGCCAGCCGCGGAAGAAAGCAGAGTGGAAACGGTAGTAGAAGATGATTGAGATAAGGGAGAAACCGGCTCGACCGGCGTCGACTTAGTTGTACTCGACGGAGCGGTCGATGTCGTAATAACCACACTTGTCGGAGAAATCGAATTAGTGGTTGAAGATGGCTTAAGGGTTGTAGCAGTTGTCGACACTGGTTTAACAGTAGTAGTTGAAGCTGACAGACGAACAGTTGTAGATCGAAAAGAAGGAGTGGCCCGTCCGTTGCCCCACGGGGTACGGGAAACTGCCGCCTAATGAAAGAGTTATATCATTTAAGGCTACAGTCGTCTCGCCTTCGCTCAAGGTGCTTGCATATACGTCAGGTCAGTGTATATCAGAGAAGTCACCTCGAAAAAGAAGGCCGAGGACCACGAGTGCGAAAACGACCATCAGAGAATACTTCACGATCCTCCACAACCGGGAACAGATGACTTCCTGTATCATCCGGGACCAACCGCCCACATTTTTCGTTTCTTCCGACGGAACTTTCTCTGATGCCTCGGGGGCGGTTGGGACGTGCGATGACTGCATCGGCTGGCTGAAGTCAGAAGACACTTGCGAGATGATTTGATGTCTCACTGGGCCAACACAGGTTGTATGGTCGTTCGACATGCTACTGAAGGGAATGCGAAGTGTAGTCCTTCCGGGAGTAGCGACCAAGTGTTGCAACGATGCGAGGACCCCTCTTTAATAGCCAAGCCCCGAGAGGGCAAATTAGAGAGTAAGAAGCGACAGAAATTATCGCGAATTTTCGATCTCGAAGTTGTTGCCGAACGACTGACATATCTCATGACAAGCTTGACAAAAATATGGTAAGCTCAGATTCTGAGCTAGTGACATCGAGGTGCAAATCGTCTCCAGATATCAGGAAGTAGTAGCTATCAGAGCGTCTCTACTGTGCCTCAAATGTTCCTCATCTCAAGCGCTCGACAGCGCTTATCTCATGACAAGCTTGACAAAAATATGGTAAGCTCAGATTCTGAGCTAGTGACATCGAGGTGCAAATCGTCTCCAGATATCAGGAAGTAGTAGCCATCAGAGCGTCTCTACTGTGCCTCAAATGTTCCTTATCTCAAGCGCTCGAGTCTCTGACTCGAGTCTGGCTGACTCGTCGGAAATAACTCGAAATTCTCATCGCATGCGAAACAGAGATTTATTCCAAAAGAGAATGGAGTCAGAGCGAACCCCTGCGAAAGGCTACACGGCCCATGGGGGAGAATGATGAATATTGTCCGTTTCACCTTCCGCTCTAGATACTGAAGACCTAAGTCTGTAACGGTCACTGACCGGTCACCACTTAACCCGTTCACAGTGTTTTCAGCATGACCCATATTCGGATGCTCTTCTGTGTTCAACCCTTTCCTGTGACTCGCTATATATACGGACAATAAACCTCAGCCAGCTGAGGGGGAGCCCAAGACTGACTCTAGCATTCCGTGTGATCATTCTAGCCGAGGTATCAACGAGATACGAATATCTCTTCAGTCAGTGGAGGAGACAGTCGTCTGGGGGTCGCCAGTCAGTCACGCTCGTCAGATACGGACGCTCTTCACAAGGGGTCCGAGGAAGAAGCTGATTTTCGTGGTTTTAGAAGCGACTGTTTTCGGAAAAAGTGCTCATACGGAGAGGTCATCTCTTAGGACAGCGGGGAAGCGGTGGAAGATAAACTATCACTCCTCTGCCCTCCCTAGCCGCGGGAGATCTTCACCTCACGACCTAGGCCGTTAAGGCGACTGGGCAAACCTCCAAACAAACCAGTGAGTGTCTCACTTCGGAAAGGCATCAAGCGGGCGTAGGAACATCTCGGGATAGCACGCACGCACCGAAGAACAAGAAAACTCTCCGAGCGGGAACCTCGATTCATTGCCAGTCTGTCTCGCACCTGACAGATCGTTCGAAAATCGCGGGCGGCGCGAAATTCAAATCGCGAAGCAGAAATCGCGAAATTCAAGGGCCGGTAGATCCGACGGAAAATCGAAATGGAAGACCCCGGCCCACCGGGGCTCCTGAATGGAAGAGCCCAGAAAGAAGACGGCCGGATCAAGAAGCCAGGAGACGGAAGAACAGTCGACGAAGAGAGAAGGGAAAAGGAAAACGGGGATACCGGACTGAGGACCGACGCCGCCCTAGAGCCGATGGAACTCGAGGACGGGAAGAAGACTGCAGAAGTCCCCCAGGAGATTCTGAGACCCAGAGTCATGCCAGCAGCTCTGGAGCAGCTCTCAGCCCAGGAAACTCCGAGGCAGGGAGCGGTGCTCGCGGCTCCGAAACTCCTTCTCAGCGGCAGCGAGACCCGCACGGAACAAAGATCGAACAGCGAGAAATCGAAGAAGAGGAAAACTCTTCTGAGTCCCGTGAATGACGAACGAGAAAGAAAAGCTCGCAAAATAGGCACCCTGGATGAACTGGGGGAACTCATTAAAGACAGAATTGAGATCTACGTCAGAGCCAAGGTTAATGGTATCAAGAGAGAAGAAAGACCGAACACGGATAGGAAGGTGAAAAACTTCACGGATAGCATGATACGATCTACCGAGAGACTCGAGAGAGAAATCCTCGTAGCCATAGAGGAAGCTTTCACCTCCATAGTGAAGAACAACGGATCACAGCAACGGGTCGCAGCGAGCTGCACAAGCGACAGAGGCACCCAGACCCAGAGAACCTTCAAACCGAGAACAGAAGAGGAAGAAGCACAGATAGACGAAATCAGGCGAAAGTTCAACAGTCTGAGCAGCCTGGAAGACATGGCCGAAGTAGCTGAAGAGGAATGGCCGAAAGGCACGTTCTCTAGAGTGAGCACCACAAAAACTGGAATCATGTCAGATAGATGCTTGAAGATTCTGATAGTGGATCCCGAAGATAAGGAACAGAGAACGGCGAACGTCATAGACCAGCTGATGAGATTCTTCCCAGCAGTAAGGGAAGCACAATCCATAGATGACGGAGAAGTTGCGAAAACCGAGACTAGCACCCTTTCGAAGCTGACGAGAGAAAACAGAAACCACATCGAAAGCGAGACGAAAACCCTAATCATAGGAAAGATTCGAGGAAAGGCGTCGACGAGCGATATCGCCGGTGAAGACAGGTCAAACACAACGAAAGGATGATGAGAAGATTCTGATTCAGATCCCAAACACATGGGATGCAGTACTGGCCCGGAAACTACTGGAAATATGCTGGTGCAGAAACAAAATCAGCACCCCTGCAGAGATCTCAGTTAAGAAGAAGAGACCCAGAGCCTCAGAAGGCTCAGAATGTAAGAGCGAACGAGAGAAGAAGGAAAAGACCACCTCGAAGAAAACACGAGGATCAGTCATCATTGGAATTCAGAGCAAATCGTTCGCGGAAGTCTTGACTAAACTCAAAAACGAGGTGGACGAAAAAAGCCTCGGTGTCGACATCCAAGGAGTTAGACAAACAGAACAGGGAATGAAGCTCCATGTGAGGGAAAGGAAGCCAGGAGGACAAGCGAGGCTAGCTCAATACATCGAAGAACAAATGAAAATGAAGACTCAAACAAGAGGGCCAGCCACCGTGACTGCAACCCTCGCTATCCATAACTTGGATCTAGTCACAAGCGGAGAGGAGATCGAAGAGGCCATACGGAAAACCGGCCTCAAAACGGACGCTTTCCTGAAGGTGGAGAAAATAAGGACGAACGATAGAAATGAACGATCAGCTCTGGTTAGGGTGGCCAAATCGAACGCAGAGAGACTCCTGAAGCTAGGACGCATCAAAATCGGGTGGGAAACCTGCAGAATCCGCGAATGGCTGACAGTAGCGATATGCTACAAATGCCAAGGCATCGGCCATCGGGCACACGAGTGCAAAGAAAAGGAAACCAAGCCCAAGACTTGCTACAAATGTGGAAAGGAAGGACACCTCTCCAAGGACTGCGGAGAAACACATGTAATTTGCGGAAACTGCGAGGCACCAGGGCACTCGAAGTACTCCTCGAAATGCCCCGCGTACAAGGAGATGCTCAAGGATCAACTGAAGCAGAGAGACATCAAAAGATCCGCGCGAACCGAAGAAATATCACCAGAGCGAACCCCGGAGGAAGAGCCGATGCGCACCGAAGAAAACGAACCCCAGCGAAACGGAGACGGCGACTTGACGCAGTCCAAGACGAGCGGACAAGCCCCTACGCAACGTAACGTAGCACTCGGGAAGGGCGAAAGCGAAATAATGCCCACCAAAGAGACAGATGGAGGATGGAAGCTCGTCCACAGTAAGAGAAGCCAAAACAACAAGTAGAAAGATGATCAAGATAATTCAAGTAAACCCTCAATAGGACCCGGGCGGCTCCCGCCGTTCTGGAAAATCTTGTTTTAGAGAATCGGATAGACATCTGTATACTCAGTGAAGTGAACAAGAGAATATCCGAGGGCCATAGCAAAAGAGATGACGGATGGATAGCGGACGGATCGGGGGGACTCGGCCATATGGATTACCGGAGCGGGAGCGCAACTCAGAATCCGGAACTCAGGCTCAAGACAGGGACTCACGCACATAGAACTCGAAGGCGGTCCAAATATCGCAAGCTGCTATTTTTCGCCTAATAGGAGCGATGAAGAATTTGTCGATTACCTCGGGATCATACAAGACCTACTGAAAGATCGGAACGGGCAAACATGGATAATCGCCGGGGACTTCAATGCGGTCTCAAGCGCTTGGGGAAGCCGCAGAACCTCCCGGAGAGGACATGAGCTCGAAGAATTAGCAATGAATAACCTGTTCATACTGAATGATGGGAAAACTCCCACTTTCTCGAGAGGAGCGCTCCAGTCCTTCATAGACATCAGCCTGACGAACAGACCGGATCTCGTTGAGCACTGGAGCGTTAAAGAATTAACGGAAATGATTAGTGACCACAATGCGATAGAGATAAGCTTCACCACACAGAAGCTTACATCAGAAGTACACGAGCTCCCCCAGAGAAGATGGCGAGCGAAAGACATGAGCCGACCGGGATTCACATCGAAACTCGACGCTGTATGCCGGGCGGCCTGGGAGGAAAGTACGACCACGGACGCGAAATTTGTATCAGATCTACTCGTCGATGCCTGCAACGCTTCGAACCCTCATATCTCAAACCGGATCAGAGGAAGGAAAATGGTGTACTGGTGGACGAAAGACATAGGCGAAGCCAGGAAGCGATGTCATCGCGCAAGACGACTTTACGTCCGCTCGCGGAAAAGAGCGCAACAGAACCCGGACAGAGTCGAAATTCTCAGGATAGCCTACAAGGCCGCTCGAGATAGCTATCATAGCGAAATTCTCAAAAGCAAGCGGCAGAAGTGGGAGGAGCTATGTGATTCGGTCAAGAAGGACGTATGGGGAATGCCGTACAAGATGATACGCGAGAAGCTCAGCAAGAGAAGGCTTAAGATCCCCAGGGAAAAGATGGACAGAGCAATACAGGAATATATTCCCGAAGGGGGAACCCCTAGAAAAAATCGAATACCGGATCGACGCGACTCAAATCCCGAAAACGTCGGCACAAGAAGTAAGAGCTGCCGCGGAGAGGCTCGCAAATGGCAAGGCTGTTGAAATACAGATGACCTACAGTCTTCTGTAGAATAGCTGTAACATTCTCAGTATGATTACGGATAGCCTTGGTAATCTTCTGTAACCGGACGGCCCTGATCTGAAGGACTCCCGCCTTCAGATCAGTGTTCATAAACGACCCTGAAAGACTTCCGTCCTTCAGTAGTGATACTCTCCACTAGGGTATATATACTGGTAATAAAGACTCGCACAAGGGAGGAGCTACTGATTCACAACGAATCCCTGTATCTTTATTCCGCCGTGATCTTCCAGGCTCACAGCTTACTTTCAGATCTAGTGTCCACCGACTGACCACCAGTGGGTTATATCCAACATTCGTTATTGCGCACGATCGAATCTGCGGACACTTGTGATTGAACTTAAGTTTTGTGAGCCCTTCTTTGTGAGTGACTCGTTTGTGTTCTTAGTGAAACAACGGTGCATCCTCGAGAAGTGCAAATGGCAACTCGAGTCAGACAACGAGCACAGGAAGATTCCACTAGCTCCCACGGCTATAGTGACTTAGGCGATGACCAGCCCGGGCCATCAGCACTAAGCTTAGGCGACACTAAACCACCAAGGGGTGATGACGACACGGGAGACATCGGCGAGCTCCATATCGCGACACGAGCTCGCAGCCGTGACATTGTG